GCAGTGGGTGGCAGTGGAGGCACTGCCAGCCCTGATGGGCCCCGATGAGAGTGGGACTGCGGCGAGATGGTGGAGCAGGTAAGCAGGCAATGCCAGTCCAAGGCGGGTGTGAATGGGACCTGATCGCCTCCCTGATCGCCCTGCAGATGGTGACCAGTGGTGGCGGCGGGGGGGTGGGGCTGCTGCCGAGCTCCCAGGTGCTGAGGGAGCCAGGCGGGGGCCCGATGACTCAGGCAGAGTGGGATGCGCAGGGGCCTGGGTGCTGCCCAGGGCCCAGAGGTCAGCTGGGACCTGCTCTTCCACTCCAGACGCTTGTGCTTCGATCGCTGGCCAGGCCTAGGAACCGCACCCGTGCACCGGGCCTCTTGTAGATTATAAGAAGTGGTAAGAATAGAAGTAGGGAAACCAGCAGATGAGAGATTATAGTAATTTGGACTAAAGTAATAACTGGAAATGAAGAAGAATAGATGGATTCAAGGACATATATTTGAAGCTGGAAGGACTTGATGATTGAATGAGTGGAAGTGAAGATCTCCTGAGATTAGGGTGAAGTCATTACCACAGGGCATGTTGGGAGTTTCTGTGTTGCATAAACACCTGTCTTAGGGACTTAAGTCGTTCTGCCTGGATATATTTTTTTGTATTGAAGTCTTCTTTGTGCAATTACAGCTTATTTCCTTGTCTCTGACTCCAAAAGATTAATTGACTCTAAAAGGTTACGTGTGGAATACGATTGATCATTCCTGTTTTTTTTAGTCCTCCACCCACTTCCCTTAGCATGACTTTTTACTAAAATCTGACATTCCCATCTAATTTCAAGAAGATTAAAAGATAATGTGTTCCTTCCTTGAATAACAGCAGTAATAGAGAACTCTGAGCTTCCCACACTGTCCCCTTGTTTTCTTGACTCTAGTCCTAAAGTCCTTATTTTAGCATCTAGGTTCCTGTTTTTCAGGTTGGTGCTGACAGCAGCTGCTCTCTCAGTTGAGGGCAAGACAGGACTTGTGTTTTGTTGGGTAGTGAGGTTTTCACAGCATTTCTTTTCTAAAAATCAGAGACTCCCCCCACACTGTGTGTTGATGGGCCCCAGAGAAAGTGCTATTAAACTTCATCTGCCAGGTGTAGTGTGTGCCTTCTTCCTTAAACTCCCCTTAAGCCATAGTTTACAAATTCACTGTCAGATTAGAGTGGAGTGTGCTGGGTGGCTACTTCATCCTAAGGTGGCTGCCTCTAGTGGCTACATTGAAAAGACTTGTGTTTTGGTGAAGCTCTTCATCAGGCATATGACCTCAGTTCAGGTGGATCGCCCAGGCAGGCCTGCTTCAGGTAATGGGACAAGGAGTGAGTTTTATTATATTGGCTTGAATCATTCACTGGTAAAATCCATTCTTGCCAGTCTAATTTCAAAGAAAATTTGAAGTAGATTTTTCTTTTTTAACTTCTTTTATTTTGAAATTATTTCAGACCTGCAAAAAGTTGTAAATAGTACAAAAAAACTCTTTACTTTTACCCAGAGTTATCAAATGTTAATATTTTCCACACTCACTTTATTATTCACTCTTATGTGAACTGTGAACTTTTTTTAATGTTTGAGAGTAATTTCCAGACATGATGCCCCTTTATATCAGAATATTTCCTAGACAGTTCCTAAATATTTCCTAAAACAATGATATTCTCTTACATTGCCACAGTATGTATGATGACCAAAATCAGGAAATTAACATCGGTGTAATACCATCTACTTATATAAAAACCCTGGGTGTAACATCACGGCCAGAAGTGCGACCAATGGAAGGAAGTCAGTCCTGCAGGGGTCATCTTGGAAATGGCTGCTCCCTCCCCCAGCTGTTTCCTGGAGGGCAAGGTTTCAGGCAGGAACCCGCCCTCGGAGCGAGCGTGGAAGTACTGAGTCTTGGGTTGCCTTGCCAAGGGCTGCGCCCTCCCCGAGCTGTTTCCCGCGAGGCCTGAGGGAAGAACTCACCCTCAGAGCGCCAGGAGCGCCTAGCAGCAGTCAGTCCTGGGTTGCTGAGGCGTAGGCCACTGCGTGGTAGAACTCTAGGTCTGGCCCAACAGGGGGCGTGGCCAGCCTTCAAACCAGACCCTGACAGGGAGGAGGCAGCCCCATTCCCCACAGAATCTGCTGTTGGATAGCTTGCTGTCAGTGGCCTGCCAGCCAGGAACCCCATTCACCTGCACCCTGACCCTGACATGAGGGAGGAGGGAGCCCCATTCCTCACGGAATCCACAGGTGGCCAGCTTGCTGTCAGGGGCCTGCCAGCTAGGAATCCTATTCACCTGCATATCTGTATAAAGTTTTAATACATTATATTAGAGGTCGTGGTGGTACTGTTTTACCCACAGCGTCTACAGGAATTGCTGCAAATTTACTTCTCAGTAGAAGCACCTTTCATTCCCAATATAAATTATCGATTCCATTAAATGAAACTTCAATTTCTAGATTCCATATAAACAGTGAAGTTGCTAAAACTATTAAAAAGGCCCAACTTCTCATTATTGATGAATGCACCATGGCATCCAGTCATGCTATAAACGCTGTAGACAGATTACTAAGAGAAATTATGAGTCTGAATGTTATATTTTCGACAATGTCTCAGTATTGTACTGCATGCTATGTGATCGGCCATAGTACAAATGAGTTTAAAGTACTGCAATGCTTGGGGATGTTTCAGAAAGTTGTCTCTTACAACAAATATGAGATCAGAGGATTCTGCTTATAGCGGATGGTTAGTAAAACTTGGAGATGGCAAACTTGATAGCAGTTTTCATTTAGGAATGGATATTATTGAAATCCCCTGTGAAATGATTTGTAATGGATCTATTATTGAAGCTACCTTTGGAAATACTATATCTATAGATAATATTAAATATATATCTAAACGTGCAATTCTTTGTCCAAAAAATGAGCAATTCTTTGTTCAAAAATTAAATGAAGAAATTTTAGATATACTCGATGGAGATTTTCACACATATTTGAGTGATGATTCCATTAATTCCACAGATGATGCTGAAAAGGAAAATTTTCCCATCGAATTTCTTAATAGTATTACTCCTTCGGGAATGCCGTGTCATAAATTAAAATTGAAAGTGGGTGCAATCATCATGCTATTGAGAAATCTCAATAGTAAATGGGGTCTTTGTAATGGTACCAGATTTATTATCAAAAGATTATGACCTAACATTATTGAAGCTGAAGTATTAACAGGATCTGAAGAGGGAGAGGTTGTTCTGATTCCAAGAATTAATTTGTCCCCATCTGACACTGGCCTCCCATTTAAATTGATTCGACTACGGTTTCCATGATGCCAGCATTTGTGATGACTATTAATAAATCACAAGGACAAACTCTAGACAGAGTAGGCATATTCCTACCTGAACCCATTTTTGCACATGGTCAGTTATATCTTGCTTTCTCTCAAGTTTGAAGAGCATGTGATGTTACAGTTAAAGTTCTAAATACTTCATCACAAGGGAAATTAGTCAAGCACTTGAAAGTGTTTTCACTCTTAATGTGGTGTACAGGAGATATTAGAATAAGTTTAATCACTTTATCAGTCATTGTTTGCATCACTGTTGTTTTTCATATCATGTTTTTGTCGTCTTTATATCATGCCTCTGTTGTTATATCCTTTTGTTACTGTTTATTAATAAACTTATATATTATTTTCATATAAATTTTACTAATTTTCTTTCATCTCTCACACTTCTATTATAGAGAAAGGGCAAATAGCAATATTAAAATATCTCTGCTAATTAATTCCCTTTTTAAAAAAATATATATTTTATTGATTTTTTACAGAGAGGAAGGAAGAGAGATAGAGAGTTAGAAACATCGTTGAGAGAGAAACATCGATCAGCTGCCTCCTGCACACTCCCTACTGGGGATGTGCCTGCAGCCAAGGTACATGCCCTTGACCGGAATCGAACCCGGGACCCTTGAGTCCGCAGGCCAATGCTCTATCCACTGAGCCAAACCAGTTAGGGCAATTAATTCCCTTTAAATGTGTGCGAATTTCGTGCACCGGGCTACTAGTCCTATATAATAAAACCCTAATATGCAAATTGACCAAATGGCAGAACGGCCAGCAGAACAACTGGTCGCTATGATGCACACTGACCACCAGGGGACAGATGTTCAATTCTGGAGCTGCCCCTTGGTGGTTAGTGCGCTCCCACAGGGGGAGTGCTGCTCAGCCAGAAGCTGGGCTCATGGCTGGGGAGCGCAGTGGCAGTGGCGGGAGCCTCTCCTGCCTCTGTGGCAGCACTAAGGAACAGTGAGCCAAGCAATAAGGAGCAGCGAGCAGGCGGGTGGTAAGGAGCTAGGGGTACTGGACTGCGAGAGGGCACAGGCCGGGCTGAGGGACCCCTCCCTCCCCATGCAAGAATTTTGTGCACTGGGCCTCTAGTCTATATATATAAAAGGCTAAGCGACCTTCTGACCGTCTGGTAGGTATGATGCGCACTGACCACCAGGGGGAAGCTGCTCAATTCAGGAGCTGCCGAGCTGTGGTCACTTGGCAGCGGCGGTTCTCGGGTGACGCACACCAGAACCAGAGAGGAGGGAGCCCAAATCTGGGGTGCATCACCCGAAAACCACCCTCTCACAATCTGGGACCCCTCGGGGGACAACACTCAGGTAAAGTTGTGAATGTTGAGACAGAAAGATGTTTTTTTGGAGAGAGAGGATAGCACTCTCTGAGTAAGCATGTGAGCAGATTCTCAATGGCAGAGACTTAGAGTCCCATCCCTTGGGACTTTATCAGTTCCAAACCTGTAGCCAGGTTTGATCACATGAGGGCAGCAGGAAGATCACTGAAAACACATTAGGAATCTAGTGTTCTTCTCTCATGGCCCCAAATGACAAGCAAGACTGATCACCCAAGAAATACTGAAGAGGGACTCTTGTTTACCCAAGGACCACTGTAGCATTGTACTTGTCTTCCTGGGACTGTAACATTCCCAACTGCTTCTCTCCCCTTCAGGCTGACAGACTTCAAGGATGCAGCTATTACTGGAGATGTGTGGCACCTTACCTGAGCCAGGCCATGAGGCCATGTTGCCATGATGTGGGCCCCTCATGGCCTCAGCAGGAACTGAATACTACAGTATTGGCCAGGGAAATAGCTTCACGCAGAGGGGTCCCTCTGGCAAAGTATCTGCCCCACCATCTGAGAAACCCTCTGAGGGCAAAGTCTGGTCTTCAGTTTCATCAGCAGGCGAAGACAGTCTGGAAGCTGGAGAAGCACGTAGGCACCCTTTCAGCAGGATTGGACCTACACCTCTTGGGTTTCCCAAACGAGCCAGCGTATTTCTTTTGTCCCAGCACTTCATGTAGCTTTGGGACCACAGCTGCCCTTGCAGGCCACAGCAACACCTGTTACCTGCCTTCTGTCCCGGACTTGTTCAGCAGTACCCTGCTGTACCGCCGCTTCAACCATAGGCACAAAACACATCAGCAGCTGGAGTCTTTCTGCTTACGTTCAAGCCCGTCAAAAAAAAGACCTTTTTCTGTCCCTCAAAAGAGCCTCCTTGTCAGACTCACTGCCAATAAGGCCACTTCTTCCACGGTCTCCCCCATGGCCCAGCCTGTGGCATCCTCATCCATAGATCCATACCTCACACTGGGAGCAGCTGGGGAAAACCCTTCAGGGAAGAGGCTGGCTTCTGCCTTCTCAGGGAAGATCCCATCTCCACTCTCCTCCCCTTCACCCTCCTATAAGCCCATGCTAAATAACTCCACGGGGCCAAATAGCACTAAAGTGCCTTTATCACTGGCCACAGAGGGCCTGAAGCCATTATCCTCACCCAAGATCCAACTTGTGTCCTGGCATCATTCAGGGGGCACTGGAGACTGTGCATTCCAGCCTATTGAACACAAGGTACCCAAGAGCAATGGCATTGTCGTACATGGTGCCCTTGCCCATAGCACCCTGTCTACTCCTAGCTCCTTAGACATGTCTACCACCAGTGTTGCCTCCCCCCAGTACAACCACAGTAACTTAGTCATGAGGATAAAGCCACATCCCTGTGGCCTGAATGGCGACCCTGTTTCCCAGGCTCTGACCAAGGAGGCTCGGTTCACTGAGGCTGTGAGGCAGTTGACTGCAAGAGGCTTTGAGAAGCCGAGGCAAGGCTCCCAGTTTGAACAGTCTTGTTTTGTGAACCCGAGTTTGCAATGGGATCTCCTCAACAGGAACAGGCAGTGGAAACCTCCTGTGGTAGGCCAGCAGTTCCCCCAGGAGGGTGCCCCAGCAGACAATAGGATCCTCCCTGGAGCCTCAGACACCTTGGAGTTGGACAATACAGTCTTTTGTACCAAACGCATCAGCATTCACCTCATTGCCTCACACACCAGTGGGCTCAGCCATAGCCCTGTCTGTGGGTCTGCGGTCGACTCCCCACTACACGGAGAAGACAAGACGCCAGTGCTGCCTTCTCCCCCTCAGCCCTGTGACCTAGCAGATGTGGCCACCCACCTCTCTTCCATCCATTTGGACCAGCTTGGGAAGGAGGAGCCTATAGAAGCCAGGGAGCTGGACTCACCTGCTAAGGATATTGGGTAAGTTGGAGGAAGTTTTTGGTTCATTTAGAGCAGTAGAATATATATGCAAATTCGCTGACACTGGCCCTGTGTCTCTGAAGGTTGGTTTTATTTTTTAGCTGCCCTAGAGTTATGGTTTTCACTTTAGGGCAAAGGTCCACAAGCTTCAGCTTGCAAGCCAAATCCTGCACACTGTCTGCTTTTGTAAAGTTTTATTGAAATGCAGCCTCGACCATTCATTTACTACTGTATATGGCTGCTTTCCTGTTGCTATGGTAGGGTTGAGTAGTTGTGACAGACTGACTGGCTCACAAAACTGAAAATATTTACTGTCTGGTCCTTTAGAGGAAGAGTTTGCTGACTCCTGCTTTAGGTTATAACCATGGAGAAATAAAAATTCCAAACACATGAGTTGGGGCCTGTGACTTTTCTACTTAATTCCAAACCATATCAGGTTCTCAATCATTCTTGGAATGACAGCCATTTCAGAGTTAGGGCATACATGTACTTGGTTTCTTCTCTTAGCTCCTTGTTACTAATTTGATTCACCAAGGTTTTCCTTGTTCTAAGTTCCCAGAGAGCGGTCTAGGGACTTTGAAGTCAATGACCAGACATTCATTGGTGGTGGTTTGAATGCAGAATTTTGGATTTACATGCTTGGAGGGACTTCAAAGAAGATGGAAGACAGTGCCTCTCTGCAGAATAGGGGGTGTAGGGTTGAGGAACTATGGCTAGACCTAAACTCTGAGAGCAAGGGAAATAAACTGTGAGATTCAGGCAAGAGATAGCAGATTGGTGACCAGGGAAGAGACAAACACTGGAAGATGATGAAGGAATGAGCATCTTAACTGTGACCTCTGTTATGGAATTGGCTGGGCTGGGGCTTTGGTTCTTTCTTATAGTTCAGCTGCTGACCTCCAGCCAGACCAGGTTGAGGCTGACGATCTAGAAGAAGAGCTGGTAGATGGTTTGGAAGACTGCTGCAGCAATGATGGGAATGAAGAGGAGGGTGAGTAGGGGACCCTCTCACCTCCAACTAGGAATTGGTCATTACCGCTAGGGAAGGAGGCTAACAATTGTGTACCAGGTCTTTGACCCACTTTGTCACCTGCATTACTCATTCGCCTTGGGGGTCCAAGGGTGGTGGGTAGTGGCTTTTGAGGGACTTTGTTCTCTAGTCCTCCTGTCCCACCAGTCTTGCCTTCTCCCTGCTGCTGTTGAGCTCAAGGAAGGCAGTACAAGGCAGCAGAGTGGTGCTCGTGACTCCGCAAGAAGGCTGAGCCAGGCTGTCCAAGGAAGAGCTGTCTAGGCTTGGTGAGTTTGTGTAGCAGCCTTTCCCATTCAGAACTTCTCTGCTTCCCCCCGCCAGGAGACTCAGAGTGCTCCTCATTCCGTGCTGTCTCTTCCAGCGAGTCGATAGCAGTGATCTCTCGGTGAGTGTTGGTTGTATAGATCATTGATAGATGATCATTTTCTGTCTCTTTAGGAGAGGCTAAGTCCAGTACTCTTGAGAGGCAGTGAACAAAAAAGTAAACTTTTATAGATTCTCATGCAGTTGTAATATATAATATATAGAGATCCCCAAAATTACTCAGTTTCCCCCTATAGTAACATTTTGCAAAGGTATGGTATATTGTTGTATAACCAAGATACCAACATTAGTCAAGATACATTCCCATCACTGCAAGGACCCCTGTTACTGTTCCGAGAGCCACACCTACTTCCCTCCTGCTCCCAACCCCTCTTTAATCCTTGGCAACCACTGATTTGTTCTATAATATTGACATTTCAAGAATGTTATACAAATGGAATGATGTAGCTATTAGGGATTGGCTTTTTTTACTCAGCATATTCTCTGCACATTCACCCTGGTTGTTACATATATCAATAGTTCATTCCTTTTTATTACTGAGTAGGATCCATGGTATGGATGTGCCACAGTATGTTTAACCACTTACCTGTTGAAGGCTATGTGGGTTGTTTCCAGTTTGGGGCTATTATGAATAAACCATCACAGATACGTTTTTGCATGAATGTAGGTCTTCATCTCTCTGAGATAAATACCCAGTAGTGCAATTCTGGGTCATCTGGTAATTATATATATATATTTTAATGAGTCTCAAACATCTTTTTTTTTTTTACTTTTGTCTTATTGCTTAAAGTATTACAAAGAGTATTACATATGGTCCCCCCCCCCTTGACATTCCCCTGGCCTCCCCTACCCCCCAGTGTCTTATGTCCATTGGTTATGCTTATATGCATGCATACAAGTCCTTCAGTTGATCTCTTACCCCCCACTCCCGCCCCCCAACCCTCCCCAGCCTTCCCACTGTAGTTTGACAGTCTGTTCGATGCTGCTCTGCCTCTGTATCTATTTTTGTTCATCAGTTTATAATGGTCTTTATTATCCATAAATGAGTGAGATCATGTGGTATTTTTCCTTCATTGACTGGCTTATTTCACTTAGCATAATGCTCTCCAGTTTCATCCATGCTGTTGCAAATGGTAAGAATTCCTTCTTTTTTACAGCAGCATAGTATTCCATTGTGTAGATATACCACAGTTTTCTAATCCATTCATCTGCTGATGGGTACTTAGGCTATTTCCAGATCTTCGCTATGGTAAATTGTGCTGCTATGAACATAGGGATGCATATATCCTTTCTGATTGGTGTTTCTGGCTTCTTGGGATATATTCCTAGAAGTGGGATCACTGGGTCAAATGGGAGTTCCATTTTTAATTTTTTGAGGAAACTCCATACTGTCTTCCATAGTGGCTGCACCAGTCTGCATTCCCACCAGCAGTGCACGAGTGTTCCCTTTTCTCCACATCCTCTCCAGCACTTGTCGTTTGTTGATTTGTTGATGATAGCCATTCTGACAGGTGTGAGATGATACCTCATTGTTGTTTTGATTTGCATCTCTCGGATGATTAGTGACTTTGAGCATGTTTTCATATGTCTCTTGGCTTTCTGAATGTCCTCTTTTGAAAAGTGTCTATTTAGGTCCTTTGCCCATTTTTTGATTGGATTGTTTATCTTCCTTTTGTTAAGTTGTATGAGTTCCCTATAAATGTTGGAAATTAAACCCTTATCGGTGATAACATTGGCGAATATGTTCTCCCATGCAGTGAGCTTTCTTGTTGTTTTGTTGATGGTTTCTTTTGCTGTGCAGAAGCCTTTTATTTTGATGTAGTCCCATTTGTTTATTTTCTCTTTAGTTTCCAATGCCCTAGGAGCTGTATCGGTGAAGAAATTGCTTCGGCATATGTCTGAGATTTTGTGGCCTTTGGATTCCTCTAATATTTTTATGGTTTCCCGTCTTACATTTAAGTCCTTTATCCATTTTGAGTTTATTTTTGTGTATGGTGTAAGTTGGTAGTCTAGTTTCATTTTTTTGCATGTATCTGTCCAATTTTCCAAACACCATTTATACATTTATACACACACACACACACACACACACACACACACATACATACATATATATATATATATATATACTAGAGGCCCAATGCACCAAATTTGTGTGTGTGTTGGGGGGGGGGGCCTCAGCCTGGCCTGTGCCCTCTAGCAATGCGGGATCACTCTCACAGTGGGGCACCCCTCACTCCTAACCACCCTTCTGCCTGCTCACTCCTTACTGCCCGCCTGTTCTTCCTTACCGCTTGGCTCGCTGCCTCTTAGCTGCTGCTGCGCTCACCAGCGGTGAGTCCTGCTTCTGGCTGAGTGGTGCTCCCGCTGTGGGAGCGCACTGACCACCAGGGGGCAGCTCCTGCATTGAGCGTCTGCCCCCTGGTGGTCAGTGCGCATCATAGCAACCAGTTGTTTTAATCGTTCCGCCATAAAGGTTGCTGTGCTTTTATATTTGTGTGTGTGTGTGTGTGTGTGTGTGTGTGTGTGTGTGTTACAGGCCCGATGCACGAAATTCGTGCAAGAGTAGGCCTTCCTTCCCCCAGCTGCTGGCACTGGTTTCCCTCTGGCACCTGGGACTCAGGCTTCCTTCCAGCCGCCAGCAGGCAGCCGGGACCCGGGCTTCCCTTGCAGCCCCAGCTTCATCCAGAAGATCGTCCGGAAGGACATCTGGTCTAATAAGCATATTATGCTTTTATTATTGTAGAGATATATATGTATTTTTAAAATTGATTTTAGAGAGGAAGGAATAAGGGGAGAGAGATGGAAACATCAGTGATGAGAGAGAATCACCAATGGGCTGCCTCCTGCATGCCCCCTACTGGGGATTGAGCCTGCAACTCGGGCATGTGCCCTTAACCAGAATCGAACCGGGGGGATCCTTCAGTCCAAAGGCCAACGCTCTATCCACTGAGCCAAACCAGCTAGGGTATAAATAGTTTTTTAAGAAACTTCCAAAATTGTTTTCTGGAGTGGCTATACCATTTTACATTCCTATCTTGCTTTGCTTTTTTAAAAATTATATTTTTCAGTTGCAGCTGACATGCAATGTTATCTGAGTTTCACCTGTCATTGTTTTTAAATTAACTCATTTTCCTTGATTTTCAATAATCTTAAATTTTGATACTCAGTAAATTAAAAGGCTTTGAAGTAAAATATTTTTAAAATGAGGAATAGAGTTGAATTAATTGGAATTATTTAATTGGGAGTTAGTATTTAACTTGACCCACTAAAATTCATTTAAATTTTCTAAGGTTTAAAAGATTAATGTTTTATATATTGTGTCTATTTCTGTTATGCTGCACAATAACAGGTAGAATGGCTGTTTATAAACTAAAAATTAATCTTAAATAGTAATATTTGTGGATTCTATGAGCTCAGTATAGAGAGTAATCTATTCTCTCTATTTTCAGTGCTATTTAAAGAAATGGACTGGGTCTTTCACCTTGTACCTAATAGATAGTTGAGATATTCACTGTTCTGAGACCCCTTGACATAGCCTTGGCCAAGCCATTGTTGAACAAACATAGGGATCCCATGGCCCACTGCCCCAGATTCCCAGACCTGCATTGCCATTTTGTTACATAATTTGGTGTCAAATCATTTCCCAGGTGGAGGAGAGCATTAATCAACCATGTTTATCTTCAGAGAAGCCTAAATATAAAATGAGTTAGAAGTATCACTATTTCTTTCCTTTTTGTTGCTTTTCCCCTTTTTAAATTATCCATATCATTTTTCTCTCATTTATTTCTCTTTGTCTTAGTGTAGCTTATTCCTCTACTAGCAGCCACCCAAACTTATTACCTGCTCTCAGAACCACTCTTTTTTATTTATTTTATTTTTATTTGATTTCAGAGAGGAAGAGATAGAAACATCAGTGATGAGAGAGAATCATTGATCGGCTGCCTCCTGCATGCCCCCTACTTGGGAGCAAGCTGGCAACCTGGGCATGTGCCCTTGGCCGGACTCAAACCCGAGGTCCTTCAGCCCACAGACTAACGCTCTATCCACTGAGCCAAACCAGCTAGGGCCAGAACCACTCTTTTCAGGGATTTCCTCAGCCTGTAGCTTGTCACAGGAAATTTTAGAGCTGTATCACAGAATGAAGTATCAAAAGCCTTATCTTCAGGTGACATTTAAAGGTGTGGCTATATATAGGTTAGCACCTTATTGATATTTGCAAAATAATTATTGAGCACTTATAGAAGTACAATTAAAAGACAGCACTCCCAAAGAAATTATATGTAGTAGTAACAATACTTCAGGGCTGTGGCTTTCCCTTTCTGTACCACATGTCTGTTTCTCTTCTTAGGGGCTGCAATGAGGCTCTGACCAAACCTCTTTCCAATGAGAAAGTTGTCCGGCCAGCCCTTATCTACAGTCTCTTTCCCAATGTGCCTCCTACCATCTATTTTGGCACTCGAGATGAGAAAGGTAAACCTGGCCAAGTGTGTAAGCCCAGAAGAGCCCCAGGAGAAGGGTGCTAACAAAGTTGGGAGGAGGTGGCAAAAGAATTGGAGGGGCTTTCCAGAATGGCTCTTATGGTGCTTGGTCCCCCACCTGGTTCACCGGTCCAATATGCAGACCTTTTTCTTGTCTGTCCTTGAGCTGATCCTCAGCCCCATAATCTCATGCATTGTTCTTGCCCTTTAACCTGTTTCTTTCCCCTTTCAACCTCTCCTCCTTTCTGTGCTTCTCATTCCTGTGAAACTATGATCAGAAACTGTATTTTGTGACTTACCTACCCAGGAAAGGTTGAGCAATAATACCATCTCTTTCCTCTTCTGACCATGACTCTCCTGCTCTTCTCCATCCCCCCACCCCCACTTCTCTCCCAGTGGAGAAACTTCCCTGGGAACAAAGGAAGCTGCTGCGGTGGAAGATGAGCACAGTGACCCCCAACATTGTCAGACAGACCATTGGACGGTCCCACTTCAAAGTCAGCACGAGTGAGTCACTTGCCTTATTCTGAATCTGTCTTCGGCCCCAACAGATGGGCTCTGGGAAGAAGGGAGCCCTGGGTACTTCCTCCTATGTGGGGATCCTGTCCTGAAGTTGCCAGTCTCATAGGACATAGCTTTGAACTCCTTCTGGGCTGAAGCCTATTCCTCAAAACTGAAAGACAGAGATTGTTCTACCTGTGACCCCAGGGCCTCATGTAGGATAGCCCCATGGTAACTTTTAGAAAATAGGGTCTAGTAGCTATATGCCCAGCCCCAGTGGCATTTCTGGGGCCTCTGGGGATCTCTCTGCTCTAGGGACTGACTCCCTGATGTGTCTTCTATAGAAAATGATGACTGGCTGGGCTGCTGGGGTCACCACATGAAGTCTTCTAGTTTCCGATCTCTTCGGGGGCACCAGAAGGTAGGAGCCCTTTCTGAGGTGCTCTTCAGGCGTTTGGACTGGGCAGGAGGAGATTGGTAGTGGGGGAAGAGTTGGATAACACAGAGAAGTCAGGAAGGCTTACAGAGGAGTGGAGAAAGTACAGGAGAGGGTGCAGTGTGACCCTAGCAGATCACACACATTTAGCAGTTCAGCTGCAGTGACTTGGGCAGTCACAGCCTCTCAAAGACATTATTCTCTAATGTGTCTAGAGATGCAACATCTGTTTTCAGTTTATTATGTTTCCCCTATAACCACTGTTTTCAGTTTATTGTTTCCCCTGTAACCACTTTGCCTCCCTTCCTCCAAGCTGAATATGTATAAAGAGGACTCTGGTCTCATATTGAAATGAATGAGTCCCTTGCCCCACCCTTATTGAAGGCCAGGTACTTTCTTATCTTTGTACTATAGGCTGTCATGGAAAAAGACTTAATAGCTTTGTCTTTGCACTTAAGGTGGATATTATGTCTGCCTTAATTGCTATTATATATCATGAACTGTCAACTCCTGAAAGGCACTAAATTTTGTTGTTTTGTCTTTTAATCATTTTTTGGTGAGTGCTTGGCAGTTGAATTCTTGAGGACCGTGAGATAGTGAAAAGAAGATAGAACAGGAGCTTAAAAAGTTGCTAAGGAAGTTGGAATGGGAGAGTGAGTCCTGCCATCTTCCTTGTGATCTTACCTGGGCCCTCTCACTGCTCTCACCCTTTGTCCCTTCTGTAGCTAAACCACTTCCCAGGTTCATTCCAAATTGGGCGAAAGGACCGGCTGTGGCGGAACCTATCCCGCATGCAGAACTGCTTTGGCAAGAAGGAGTTCAGTTTCTTCCCCCAGTCCTTCATCCTGCCCCAGGATGCCAAGCTCCTGCGCAAAACCTGGGAGAGCAACAGCCGCCAAAAGTGGATTGTCAAACCAGTGAGTGGGTCATAGTGGGCGAGTAGGCCATGGTCTGAGATTAGGAACAACAGAGTATTGGCCATGAGCAAATCTCATCTCCTATGCACTTGACTTCTAGCCAGCATCAGCTCGGGGCATTGGCATCCAGGTCATTCACAAATGGAGTCAGCTCCCCAAGAGAAGGCCCCTTCTGGTACAGAGGTGAGTCTGCCCACAGCTCAGATCCCCCTTCCCATTTTCTCATTTCCTCAGCCTGGAGGTTCCCTTTTTGTCATGTTCTTCTGTCCTTTGTCCTCCCAGCCAAAGACTGTCCTCAGCCAACTGTTTTAGTCTTTATCTCAGGGACTGTTGGCTGGCTTTTGTCATGGCTCAATTACCCACTGAGCCCTACTTCATCTATCATGTTCCTAAAGCTGGCCTTTCTATACGTAGGTATCTACACAAACCCTACCTCATCAGTGGCAGCAAATTTGATCTGCGAATCTATGTTTACGTCACCTGCTATGATCCTCTACGGATTTACCTCTTTTCAGATGGACTCGTCCGCTTTGCCAGTTGCAAGTATGTGCTAGTGGTGAAGTGTCACCCTAACAGGTCTGGGGATTTGCTTTCCTGAGAGGAAGGGAAACTGGAGGACACCCAACAGAAAAATAACAAATGTTTTGGTAGTTTTTGTTAGCAAAGGAGAATGTGAGGTATATTTAGGAAAACCTAGTCTTCCTTTCCTCCTCTGTATCTGCTTCAGACACTTCTGGTCACCAAATATATGGGGGCTTTTCCTCACACCAAGCAAATCTCTGCAATACCAGCTAGGTGTCCCACAATGTAACTCAATTCTGACATCATCTTCCTGATGTTAGCATCAGATCCCACAGGTTAAGAGCTCAGCCTCGCAAGGCTTCCCACTGCTCACTTCAGATGCCAGTCACAACTCCACATTGCCACATGTGCTTCTGACCCATTGGCTATAAAACAGGTTCCCATGACCTCTCCTAGGGTTCTGTTAATTTGGTTGAGCGGCTCACAGAACTCAGTTTACTTATGTTCACTGGTTTCTTATGAAAGAATAGGATAAAAAATATAGATGAACATCCAGATGGAAGAGATGTGTAGGCTAGGAGCTTTCATTCCTCTTCTGGGGGCACCATTCTCCCTACTCCTCCATATGTTCACCTACCCAGAAGCTCTCTGAACGCTATACTTTCGGGGTTTTATGGAGGCTTTATCACATAGGCATGATGGATCATATTCATCCATTTTCAGCCTATCTCCCATCTTAAAAGAATGGGGGGGCCAGGCTGAAAATTCCAAGCTTATAATCATGGCTTAATCTTTCTGGTCACCAGCTTTATCCAAGAGCCCACCCCAAAGCTCTTCATTAGAATAAAACTCACTTTTATTACCTAGGAGTTCACAAAGGTTTCAGGAGTCCTGTGTTAGGAATGGGCCAAAGGCCAACATTAGGACAAAAGATGCTTAGTGCTCGTATCACTTAGGATTTACAAGGGTTTAGGAACTGTGTGTCAGAAAATTGGCGGCAAAGATTATAAATCACAACATTATAAATCACAATATCATATGAGGAGGTTCTCTACTTCAGTAAATCTGGGGAAGGTCTTCCTGCAGGACTGAGGTGGGATAAAGGAGAGGAGTTTAGTGTGCTGTTCTAGAACCCTTACCTCCAGGCATACTTTTGAGGCTCTTGTGCATCTGAAAAGATCTGTCCCCTTGTCCTTTATCTCCTCAGGATATGGTAAATGTTTGAACCGTTGTCTGATTGCTATCTCCTCTTCTTACCTCTGCCTTTCTCCTCCTTTCAGGTATTCCCCTTCCATGAAGAGCCTTGGTAACAAGTTCATGCACCTGACCAACTACAGTGTCAATAAAAAGAATGCTGAGTACCAGGCCAATGCAGATGAAACGGCCTGCCAGGGCCACAAATGGTACCGAGGCAGTGTCTCTGTCAATGGAAACTTAGAGGAGCACAGGGTTCTGGGGTTTGGGGAGGTTCAAGGAGATGATGAATGGAAGATTAATGTAAGACCCAAGATGTTTAAACACTTGGCAATTCAGAATTGGTCTCTTTGCATCCAAGCTCAACCCTGTCTTAATTCAAAACATCAAAAGAAGAGATAGGAAGAAAATACTGTTGTGCTTCTTATTCCTTTTTCTTTCTCTTCATCACTCAATTCATAGAATATAATCCCTAATACTTGTACTCCCTTCCCCATGTTGCAGGGCACTGAAAGCTTTGTGGAACTACCTGAACCAGAAAGGAGTCAATAGTGATGCCATATGGGAGAAGATAAAGGATGTTGTTGTCAAAACCATCATCTCGTGAGTCACACTGTCATCTGGTGTGGGGCCTGCCACCAAAGCCCCTCTTTTCTCATGGGTTTTACACTGCTGTGCCCCAGACTTTGTGCTGTGCTGTTTCAGTTTCTAAGGGAGTAGGAAGGAGTAGATAGAATTAAATTCTGCTCTCCTATGAAATCCATCCCCAGAAGCTGGCCCCACATCAGAGGCCTCTTGAGAGCTGCTTTTTCTGGCTTGCTTCTGCTCTCCCATCTTTGGGCCACTTCATTGGCAGGGCAGCTCTGGGTAAGGCCTCCCTTCTCCCTATGACCAGGTCAGAACCCTACGTGACCAGCCTGCTGAAGATGTATGTGCGGCGGCCCTATAGTTGCCACGAGCTCTTTGGTTTTGACATCATGCTGGATGAGAACCTTAAGCCCTGGGTCCTGGAGGTCAACATTTCCCCAAGGTAGGTGGTATTGTCAGGGCACTCACAGCAGAACCCTTTCTTTATGCTTATGATCCTATTTCCACTCCAATCTTGCTGACTTTGGGAAGACCTTTCCTTCATTAGCATTTGTGTTTACCCTTCAGCATCTGTTTGTTTGCTCAATACTCATTCTTTGCTATTATTTCAGGGTTCTTTGAGGATGGAGAGGGGTTGTTAAAAAATTTTTTAATATATTTTTATTGATTTCAGAGAGAAAGGAAGAGGGAGAGAGAGTTGGAAACATCAATGATGAGAGAGAATCATTGATTGACTGCCTCCTTTATGCCCCAAACTGGGGATTGAGCCCAGAATCCAGGCATGTGCTCTTGACTGTAATTGAACCCAGTTCCCTTCAATCCGACGCTCTCACTGAGCCAAACTGGCTAGGACAGGGGTTGTTAAAATTTGTTCTTTTGAACTTGCTCCCACCACTTGCTTTTCCCTAACAAATGAATGTCATGGGCAAGAACCTTCCTGACTAAGGTTATTCACTATCTGTGGGGCAGGAAGACCCCTATGATTGTGCTCGTGAGTTTGAATGTCAGAGTCCTTTTATCCTGGGGAAGCCAGGGAGTAAATGGGGCTCGCACTGACCTGGACATACAATTGGAAACAGTTTTACCACTCTTTCCAACCTTTCCTTGAAGCCTCCACTCTAACTCTCCATTGGACATCAGCATCAAAGGCCAGATGATCCGTGACCTTCTGAACCTGGCAGGCTTTGTTCTGCCCAACGCAGAGGACATTTCCAGCTCCAGCTGCTCCAGCAGCTCCACCAGGTCAGCCTCCTTGCTTGTCTGCGGCTTGGCTGGCAGCATGAACAGCCCCACTGTGAATCTGAGAAGGAATAATGTCAGTGTGCTCCACCTGCTGGGTCTCCTTTGCTGCTTGATCTGCCCCTACAGTTATCCACACACCTCTGTCATGTCTGTGCCCCTAAAAGCAAGTTTAGTTATACTGCTCACCTGTTCAGGAATCTCCATAGGGCCTGGGGACTCAGCTTTCAACTCCTCACATGGGCAGTCAAGGCCCGAGCCTCCGTTTCCAAGGCACCCCTCCCTTTACTCCTCTTCTGGTTTCCATGTTCTGACGAACCAGACCACTCAGAGAACCTCAAGGTTGGAAGGATCCTTAAAGATCAGTTAATCCAGTCTCCTCTCTGCAACATTTGTTGCTTCTCACTGTTTCCCCATAGTGTCCCCTCCTTTGCTCATAGGGTTTCTTCCTGTTAAAATTCCCCTCAGCTAGACCTCCCTGTTTCAACTTCACCCATCCATCAAAGCCTAACTCAGGGCAACATCTTCATGAAGTCTGCTCTTGGATCCACTCTCGTGGGAAGGGAGCCAGTATTTAGCCAGGACCTGCTTTATGTAAGGAAGAAACTATAACTCATCCCCACAGCAGCCCCATGAGGCTGGTATTGGTGTCTTCAGTTTACAGAAGAGAAAGTTGAAAATCACCAGAATTAAGTAGCCCATCTAAGGTTATCCAGCTACAAAGAAGTAGAGCTGGAATTCAATTCCTAAGTTGCCAGTAACAAAACTTGCTTTCCTTACCATACCTTAAGAGACTCTTCTTGGGCTCTGTGCTGTAGTTGTCATTTGACATCTGCCATCCTGTGAGCTCCTTGGAGGCCATCTTTGTGTCTCTCGGTGGTAATTATAATAATGTGGGTGATGAGACCAAGGTACAGGGAGGTCAAGTAATTTGTCAAGGATCACATAGCCAGTAGGGTTGAGCTGGGTATTTAGTAAGTGTTCACTAAATTAAACTAAACTGAGTATACAGTAATTATTCCAGGGTCTTTTTTTACTATTGAAATACAACTAGAAAGGACACTTTGTACTCCTTACTTTTTTTTGTTTTGGTTTGGTTAATCCTCACCTGAAGAAATTTTACAGAGTGTGGGAGGGAGGGAATGTAGGGAGGATGAGAGAGAGAGAAACATTGACACAAGAGACACATCAATTGGTTGTTTCCTCCATGTGCCCTCACCAGAGCTGGGGATCAAATCTGCAGCTCAGGCTGCAACCCAGGCTCGTGTCCTTGACTGGAAATCAAGCCCGAGACCCTTCGGTGCATGGACCGATGCTCTCACCGAGCCACACCAGCAGGGCCATACTCCTCACATTTTCCATGGTACTTGCTCTTTGACTCTCAGTCTGCTCGAATGGGGTGCATTGCAGACTAATCTACTCAATTAACATCTGTCCGTACTTCTTTGTCTTTTCTTGAAAAGGGTGCCTTCCTGGGCTGGACCCTCTCTCCACATGTCCTTAGGATGTGAAGCTGCTGACCTTACCCTTTCTCCTTTTCTGCCCCCTGCCTTAGCCTGCCCGCCTCCCCCAGGAACAAATGTCAAATGGCCCCAGAGCAAATCACTGCACAGAAGTTGAAGAAAGCCTATTACCTGACCCAGAAAATTCCTGATCAGGTAGGAGATTACCTCCCACCCCCCACCCCCAGTGTCAGCAGAAAGCTTCCCTACTCAAACATTTGGAACCAGTTTTTCTTCTGTCTAGGACAGGGTTTCCTAGTCTAGGTCCACAACCTCCTTTGTGTGCAGAGATATGTTGGCATGTACATCATTCAGGAGAGAGTTGATGGCCTTTATCATGTGTTCAAGAACCACTGCCCTTGGCAATATTCTGTCCTAGCCCACCCTTGTCCTCAGAGCTGTAGACCCTTTGGGTTTCTTTCCCTGAGGTGCAGTGAGCCCTTGGAAGGCTTGGCTTTCTCAGAGCTGGTGAGGGAGCTGGATGGAAGAGTGGCAGACCTAAGACTATTGCCAAATCTGAGTTGCTGGATTCTGATATTGATCCCACCCAACAAATCACTTAACCTCTGTGCCCCAGTGGTTCCCCTCACCTTGACCAAGAATATATTCATCTCCCAGCTAAGCTCAGTAGACTTTGGAACAGATGAGGTCCAGAACTGGCTCACCAGGCTGCCTTGGTGGTCCCCTGAGAGTCCTGGGGCCCCAGAGTTGTTCTCCCTGACCCCTGGCTTCTTGATTCTCTGTTTCTATTTTCTGTCATACTCTCCTCCTCCCTGTTCCTTGGGTCATAGGACTTCTATGCATCTGTGCTGGATGTCCTGACACCAGATGACGTTCGGGTTCTGGTCGAGATGGAAGACGAGTTTTCCCGCCGGGGTCAATTTGAACGAATATTTCCTTCCCGAATTTCTTCTCGCTATCTCCGCTTTTTTGAGCAGCCACGATATTTCAACATTCTCACCACCCAGTGGGAACAGAAGTACCATGGCAACAAGCTCAAAGGTGAAGTGTCCTCCCTGCCCATAGGAGGCCATGTTTACTAGTAGTGAGAGATTAAATCCCTGTAGACCAAGAAATGGGCCTCCCTGGCAAGAAGATTGGCCAATTGATTCCACCTCTTAAATCCCACCCCTACTCATCTTGTCCTAGGAGTAGATCTGCTTCGGAGTTGGTGCTACAAGGGGTTCCACACAGGAGCCATCACTGAGTCTGCTCCAGTGGTAAGTGATACCACTGGGAGGGAGGGGTCAGCTCCATCTCAAAGTCCTCCTTCCTCTGCGTGAAGAGTGCAGTGTAGGTTGGGTAGAGGTCCAGACCCTCCCACTTCTCCCTAGGCCCTCCCTTTCTGTCTCATGGCCCTTCCTTTTCAAAGGAATAATTGCTTCTAGGATTCCCTGGGTGCCTTTCTTTCGAGGATCAAAAAGTGCTTTGTAGCCTCAACTTTTTGTCTCAACAGGGAGAAAACCAAGACTTTTTCCCATGTGGGCCCATGTATGAAGGGTAGGGAAGGGGAGAAGCCCATGGTCATCACTCAGAGGCAGAGGTTCGAGAGAGTGCCAAGACCTGGAACATTTTAGCCTCATTGTTTCCTTTGCTTTCAGTGGTCTCTCCCGACATCACTTCTGACTGTCCCAAAGGGTGATGTGATGGTCAGTGCTTTCTCCAAATCGGAGACTGGCAAGCTGGGGTGAGTGCTGCAAGGAAAGGGTGTTGGGTGTGACTTCAGATACTTTTTAAAATTTATTTAATATTTATTTTTACATTTGATACACAATATCTTAACGGTATGAGTTCAGAGAGTTTTGTTCCTTTCTCTCTTCCCAGATTATGATGAGACCTGCATTTTTTAATTGGTTGATATTCAGAATATTCAGCTATAATATCCTTTTCCTAGTGGCTTTTGATATGCTCAGACTATTATGAAATCAGCATTTTTCAATTGATTGGCTCTTGGTATGCCCAGGATGCTGAGCCGAGCTGAGCACAGAACCATCTGCAGAAATGGCCACTTTCAGCCATACTCATTAGCTGTAAGAAATCTTTTAGCTCTCCTACGCTCACACACATTTATACTTGTACTTAAGCTCTCAAGCCTTCAAATAAATAAAGTATATTTTACAATTACTTATACCTCTATATAACTATGGTTTATTACACCATAATGTTGTGAATGCCCGGTTCAGACTCTGAAGGCAGGTCACAAGTTGAAGTCTAAACTACACAGTTTCTCAGCTATTTCTTTGTCCTATTTATTGTCTAAAAAAACAACAACAACAACAAAAAACAGCTCCTCTGAGGAAATCGTACCACTCTTTGAAGATGGGACTATACCCAAGTCCAAGAAGACTCATGCTTGTGTTTTTTCCTCTTTCTCCAGGAAACCCATTTCCTCAAAAGACAGTGAAGACACCAGCAAAGAGCCCAGCCTCTCCAAGCAGATGTTACCTGTGAACAAATACTCTGGGCGGACTTTGAGACTCTCTGCTTCCCCTATCTCCCAGTCAACTGGTGACTCCCTCCTGGCTGCTGTGAGCCCATGACTGGCCTCTTTCCACTAGCCCCTGCCCAGGAGCACTGGCGTAGCTACCTCATGGGAACTGGCCAGCCTGAGCCTCTGCCCCCTCACCTTCCCCCTCTTCAGAGTATTTTTTTGAAGCAGTGAAATTACAGAGATGGTTATCTGGAAGGTTGGTGGGGTGGTGGGGACAGGGAGAAGGTGAAGAAGGTTCACTGGCTGGTACCTCATATCTCAGCAGAGAAGCCAATGACAGCTACTCAGCCTTATAAAGCAGGGTTTGCTTTCTACCTTCAGAGAGCTGTGTGTGGTTTGTTTTAGGCCGTGGTGCAGTGATTGAATTCGAGTTCAAGAGGAGAAAACCTAGTGAACCTGTTTGGGTCTGAAGTCCTTTGTAGTTGAGGAGGTTCCTCTGAAGGTTCTCATTTCCTCAGGTCTTCCGTCCGCTCCCTCCCTTCCCTTTTATCCTGAGAAGTCACTTTCAGAAACCTTCAAACTTCCTCAGTAGACAGACAGGGAGAGGCGATGACATGGTGAAACCATGTCCTATCATGCTAGTCTTGGGAGCTTCACCACCTGTAGACCGTTTGTCTTTACATATATCCACCCAGCCAGTGGCCCTGGGTCTTCCTATTCTGACCTCATAACACTACTTAGTCAACCTTCTAGACTTCTCAGTCATGGATGTTTCCTCTTCAACTCGTGGCTTTCTGAGGGTGAGAGCCAAATTGTGAATTTCTTGTGGCCTCAGTGAAGGAGCCTGGATAATCCCACTTGCTGTTGTCTGTCAATGGACACAGTCTGGGAGAGAGCAGAAGGAGCTGTGATTTCCCCATAACCTAGGAAGGCTCATGATCTCTTTACTCCCTTCACTGTCTCTGATTAATGGGGTCTGGCTCACAGGTCGCTAGGGCAAGCAGAGTCTGGTGGCATAGCAGGTGGATTTCAGAAGCAGTCATTCATTGAAGGATGGGCTTCCACACACTGCTGCCTAAACTCTTGTACTCTTAACTGAATCTACCTCCCTCCCTAAGACTCAGTAAAACAGTGACTGTTCAATAAATGTTTGAATGAACTGTACAGACGGAGATCTCCAAAGACACTTGTATCTGATCCAGAAGGTCTACTTATCTTTCCCCTGGGGAAAAGTGGCACCCAGGGAATCCAAGGTGGGGAGTTTGGATCAGAAAAGTTGTTTTCACTTGAACTGTGTGCTCCTTCTTAACCCGTACAAAGGTACTTCCTGGTTACTGCTTGCCCCCTCCCCTGCCCTGTCATCCCTTTACTTTGTTGTTTTAGCAGCGGGGTCTAACAAGAAGCCACTGGCCCATCTGTGATACCCAAGTTTTCCCCTTTGCACATCAGGCAGGGAGCTCTGCTCACAGTCCTGTCCTGGGCCCTGCCATCATTCTGAGCTTTGGGAAGATATAGACTACTCTGCTTTATGGCTCCTGGAGTTCTATGGCAAGCTGGAATGGAGCCATGGAAAAATCACTACGAGGTCTGACTAGGTTTAAGGCCACACAAGTAGGTGGCTGGTCTGGCCAGTGTGAAGGCCATGTTGACAAGTTGGGAAGAAAGCTTGGCAGAGTTCTGGGGTAGCCCAGCAGGAAAGGTCCTTGAAGCCAACTCCTTGTCCTACCTGGATGCAAAAATGTCACAGTGAGCCTTGTGACAAGGACAGTAAGCAGGCTTCCTAAGAAAACTAGCCACCTGTGTAAGTAGTTTTGTTGTGGTTGGTCCTCTGGTCAAGGGCTTCGGTGTAGAGGCCTGCCTGAGCTGGCTTACTCCTTGCAATCCAGCTTCAATTCTCTGGCCTACCTTCTGAGAGCACAACCAGTCCATTTCCATCCCTGCAGCTGGAGAGGGAACCAGCATTGCAGCATGATGGTAATGGAGGGGGGCAGGGGGAGGCAGTAAAGGACTTAGGAAATTAAATGATGAAAATAGAGTATTCTTAGTAGTTTAAAACATGTTTGTACATGCATTGTTTTTAATTTTCACCACATTTGAATATAGGAGAGGTGTGTTTTGCTGGGTGGGAGAAGGAATGGGGTTTATGTATTTCCCTCTTATCATTGGGAGAAAATTAAATCTTGCTTATTAAGCATTCAGCATACATACTTAGCAATGAATACCCACAGTATAAGGTGTTCAGCTGAATAAGGAATTTTGGAGAAGTAATGATATTTCTTAGAAAGTTTAAAGTTGGGGATATAGTAGGATACATGTTAGTTGTTTTCCTAACTTACCCAGACCCTGTTTGGAGAAAGGGGAGTGCAGTACAGAGTATTTCTGGAGCACTGGAGTAAAGATTTAGGGTAGAAGACAAGGGTTGCTTATTGCTGTTTACTTCAAATTCACTCAGGATTGATAAAAAACTAAGTGACTTAGAATAAATACTAACGAAGAGGTGGTATTGTGATAGGAAAAGAGCATGGGCCTTAGAGACTGACCTTGGGTTCAAATCTCAGTTCTGCTGTGTGACCTCAGCTACCACTTTTTTAAAGTCTCCGTTTTTTTATAATATGAATACTAGAGGCCCAGTGCACGAAATTCGTGCACTGGGGATGGGTGGGGGGTCCCTTAGCCCAGCATGTGCCCTCTTGCAGTCCGGGACCCCTCCCTTGTTACTGCCCACCTGCTTGCTGCTTCCTACCGCTTGGCTTGCTGCTCCTTAGTTCTGCCACGAAGGCCTTGGGTCTGCTGGGTGCCGGGCCTGCGGGTTTGTGTCTCTGATACCCCCAGCAGCCCCAGCACCAAGGTGGCGGGCCTTGGGGCTGCTGGGTGCCGGGCCTGCGGGTTTGTGTCTCTGATACCCACAGCAGCCCCAGCACCAAGGTGGTGGGCCTTGGGGCTGCTGGGTACAGGCCCCCCATTGCATGTTTGTGTCTTCTATCAGGCCCCCAGCAGCCCCAGCAGCCCCAACACCACCTAAATAACTTAAGGGAAACTTTATTTAGTCTTCTTTTAAAAGCAATCTAGTTTAAAAATGAGTTGCAGTTAAGACAGAACAAAGAACATGGTACCTAAGAGTGAGATAGACTGACAGAGGAGAGGCTGGGCACTGGTCAGGGGCTTACATGCCAACTGTTCTCCACCTGGGAAATGATGTAAAATCGGTTTCTTTAGTTTTCTGCTTAATGGTCTTCTCCAGTACTGAGGTCAGAGGAGCCGCCTTCCAGCCCGTAGGCTGCTTCTCAGAGTCGAAATTTTCGCCATAGGCCTCTGCCTAGGACAGGACCTCTGCACCCCCAGGGTGCATAAACACACAGGGCTTCCATCAGGCTCTGCTGATCCCGGGGCGGGAGGCCTCTCGGCTCCGCTGATCCCGGGGCCGGGAGGCCTCTCGGCTCTGCTGATCCCGGGGCGGGAGGCCTCTCGGCTCCGCTGATCCCGGCCTGACTGGCCGCCATCTTGGCTGACAGTTAATTTGCATATACTCACTGATTAGCCAATGAAAAGGGTAGCGGTCGTATGCCAATTACCATGTTTCTCTTTTATTAGTGTAGATACCTATACTGCAGGGTTGTGAAAGCTAAGTAAAATATAGTAAAAGCACTTAGGACTTAGAGCAGCGGTTCTCAACCTGTGGGTCGCAACCCCTTTGGCGGTCGAATGACCCTTTCACAGGGATCACCTAAGACCATCCTGCATATCAGATATTTACATTATGATTCATAACAGTAGCAACATTACAGTTATGAAGTAGCAACAAAAATAATTTTATGGTTGGGTCACAACATGAGGAACTGTATTTAAAGGGCCAGAAGGTTGAGAACACTGACTTAGAGGGTACTTAATTCATGGCCACTCCTATTTGCTATCCAAACTCTGTTTGGGTAGGGAAGGCAGGTAAGAAATGTAAAACCCCTTTCACAAGGGAAGTGAAGCAGCTGTAGAGCCAGTTTAGAGGTGAAGGAGGCCAGGACAGGGTTCAGATGCCATATCACTCCCACCTTCACCTGAGGTACACAGAATGCAAATTCTCTGGGTAAGGAAGCATAATAAACATTAGAAATATGTGAATTAAATGACATTATCTTACCCCAAGATAAGCTTTGATAAGAAGGAGAGCAAGGGAGCAATGGATGCCTGGTGACTGGGAAGGGGAGGAGCATAGTAAAGAAAATAGAGACCTTGAACTGGAGCTGGCGCCAAAGAACAGACGCACCTACCCAACAGCTCTGCCAAGGGACAGTTGTCATTGCAGGTTAATTCTTATGGTTACAAGCTATTTAGTCACCAGGGCCAAAGGTCATACCTGATTGCCCTGGGGGCAATACAGCAGTGGGCCAGTGAAGGAGGTGGACAATTTGGGTACACGGTACATTCCACTGCCTTCGTCAGTTGAATTACTTATCGAAAGGCGGCTAGGAGACCTCCCCTCCTGGCTTCCTCTGGATTTGTCCTTTAAGACTAAGGCTCAGCTGTCTACTGTTCCAATGCCCCAACTGCTTTGAGACTTAGAAGCATTGACGATTTTCAGATATGTGGCTAAGGATGCTCCATTTCATCTCACTTGAGATTCTGATCCAGCCCTTAGACAACCCTTGGCCTCTTAGATTTCCCTCCCCCTAAGAGTTTGCACCCTATTGATGCCGAGGCTCATTGAATTGACCTTTCATCAGTGTTGGAGCAATGAAAGCTGCAAGCAGTCTTAATGTTGACCTTGGCAAATCTCTCATTGGTGAAATAATACAAGAAGTGTCAGCAAAGGGTAGTTGTTTTTTTTTAAAAAATATATATATATTTTATTGATTTTTTACAGAGAGGAAGGGAGAGAGATAGAGAGTTAGAAACATCGATGAGAGAGAAACATCGATCAGCCTCCTCCTGCACATCTCCCACTGGGGATGTGCCCGAAACCCAGGTACATGCCCTTGACCGGAATCAAACCTGGGACCCTTCAGTCCGCAGGCCGACGCTCTATCCACTGAGCCAAACCGGTTTCAGCGGGTAGTTGTTTTTAAAATCCATTTGTACCTTTATTATAATAGATTGAGACACATGGAATGCTAGAGACTGTATAGCAAAAGCCAACACAATTTTGAAAGGATATTTAAGTTTCAATTAGTAAAGTGGGGAGAACAAAGCCTACTTTATAGGGTAGTTAGGAGAGGTGCCTGATATATAGTGCAGATTTAAAATATATTCTAAAACAGACAAAATTAGTACCGCCAAAAACATTTCTTCATAAAGAAATAACAGCATGTTACTATTACACAACTTTGATAAAATATATTTTTATTCTGTCCATGGGATATCGAACTTGCAGATTTAATCAAGGTAATTAGCTTTGAAAGGTTGGAACCCCAACGGTTGTTGTCAGGGAAATGCAATTAAAACTATAATGACACAGGTTCAGATATTTGGTGTACTACCATCTGTGGGATTATCTCTAAATCAGAATCCACCAAGGCAGAATGATAGGGCAGTGGCATGAGTCCTGAGCAGAGAGCCTCCAGAAAAGCAGCTGTGCAGAAAAGGGGGCGGCTCCCTCACATCTCATGCAATGCATGTTTCTTGGGGAACCTGGTGCTAAGTGAAAGAAGCCAGAAACACGATTGTATATTTTATAATTCCATTTATATAACATTCTGGAAAAGGCAAACTGACCAAAAGCACATCAGTGGTTGCCAGGGATTATATGAGGGAGGGAATTGGCTATAAAGGGGTGCATTGGAAATATTCTATATCTTGACTGTGCATTTGTCCATACTCATCAAATTGTACACTTACAATGGATGAGTTTTATTATATGCAGTTAAATAGATTTGACTTTTTAAAAAGGACAAAGTATCATTTCATGACGCATGCAAATTAAAACCACAATGAGGTAACACTAGAATAGTTAAAAAGGCAGCCAAGACCAAATGTTGGAGAGGATGTGCAGTAATTGAGACTTTTACATATGGCTGGTGGCTGAGAGTAAAATGTTGCAATTGCTATGGAACACTACAAGTTTATTATGAGTTAACATATTTACCTATGACTCAGCAATTCCACTTTTAGGTATCCTACCCCCACTCCCTGGCAAATGAAATCAGATGTTCACCAAAAACATTTATTGTGGCTTT